GTTATGGACACGCTGCCACGTGCGTATACTTGCGACCGACACGTCAAGCTGGACCACATACGACTTGCTGAGTTTGCAATTTTCTCCACTGTTAACATTCGTTGTCCGTTGTATGTGTAATTGTAGGCCACATGTCATGTCATGATTTGTTTCTTTGTGTTCATTTCTTGTTAAGAAACGCGCGTACACTAGGAACACAACTCTGTCACCGCTACTCCTTTCGAAACTCCATGGTCACACCCACCGCCTGTATTCTGCCAACAGGGTCTGACAGGTGAATTGTTGGCGTTGTTCTTTGCTGTGCTGGCATATGTCAGGGATTTCGTGTCCACTCTTCATCAACTCAGAATGCCGTTCATTCTGCCGTTCAAACAAGCCTTCGCATCGCGGGCCAAAAATACCATGGGTTTATTTAACACCTAAATAATGCATGTGGCAAACATAGCTGTAGTGGCAGAATCACAATGGCGGAACCACCGCCAAGAGGGCAAGATATGTATGACATCATACTAGAGAATTTCGACGTTGATTTTGAGCCCGAAGAGGGACCTTCTATCAATGACATCGCTGCCATTTGGTAGGGGGTGCTGGTACTCATCACGAGATCATTGCCTCTTTGCCTTGCTTGATGACGCCGTGGTACATCGATACGGTTTTTACATGAAGTCTACCAGGAAGGCTTCGGCGTTGGCCTTGTGCGAGAGTCGGAGGCTGGTTTTGGAGCCTGACTGTCCCTGTCGTTGCAGTTACGCTCGCATCGAGCGTAACGGGCTGTGGCAAATAGTCCAACTGTCCAATTCCAAGGAGCACACATGCGACCGCGTCTACCGAGCGCGATGGTGGTCGGGAATGGGTAGCAAGAGGAAGTACCTTTGGCTTAAATTCGGCAACTTCGCCCGTGCTGCGCCTTTCAATGCCCTGTGGGACTACGCCAAGCAAATTCAGGCCTGCTCTGGTCCGAAGTTAACATACAACAACCCTTACCGGTGAGCGTACATCCTTGTTACACCACACATGTTTCAACCGCCTAGAATATCGCTTTTGTGGAGGTGCGGCTCATGTTCCGATCCCAACCAACCATTCCAAGTGCAGAGGCTGAAGGTTGGGATCACAGAGCAGCAATTCAGCGATTGGTGCGAGTCGTTCCGGTACATAGCCTCGTTGCAAGAATGGATTCACCAAATAGATGACGGAGCCACTGTCAAGCTACTCACGTACAATCACGAATTCCTCCGCCTTTTCATGGCGCCGAGCGCAACCCGCGAAGCTCTGAAGACTTGCAGGCCTGTTGTCGCGCTGGACGTGACCTTTTTTATCCGTGCTCAGAAAGCGACTCTGCTATATGCCACGGCAATGGATGGGAATCAACAGATCATCCCACTCGCGCTGGCGCTTGTTGAAAGCGAGACCAAGGACACATGGACTTGGTTCTGCCGGCTTTTTTATGTGCACTGTCCCGACTGGAAGGGACGGGACGACGCCGCCATCATCAACGACCGTGACAAGGGGCTCATTCCGGCGGTGAAAGACGTCTTTCTCGAGAAGGTGGCGCACTACTTTTGCGGGTGGCACATGAAGCGGTTCGTGAAAACGTCCAGGGACAAGTTCTGGCGGCTGTTGACAGCAAGGACTTTGAAGAAGTACGACGAACTTAAGGCCGCTCTCCTGATTTCTCATCCTCTACTCACGACTTACCTCTACGGTCCTTCACCAGCATCCAACACGCAGGGCCCAAACCCCACGCCACTTAAAGGTTTTCGGATCCGGCAACGAAACATTCAGCAAACACGCCTGACATGCGTGACCGCCAACAACCTCACGGCGAAAGCGGAAGACGCACGGAGGCGTGCCCGTGCATCACAGACGCGCCCCCGCGGCACGCGACACAGACAAAGCGGTGCAGGACGCCCATCTGCACAACCTGGTGGACCCCACGAAGCCGCAGCACGAGGTCCTTCCACAGCGCCCGGCCCATCTGTAGCACCAGGCCCATCCGCTGCACCACGCCCATCCGCAGCACCAGGACCATCCGAAGCGCCCGGCCCTTCTGCAGCACCAGGACCATCCGCTGCGCCCCGCCCATCCGCAGCACCAAGACCATCCAAAGCACCCGGCCCTTCTGCAGCACCTGGACCATCTGCAGCTTCACGGCCTTCTGCAACACCAGGACCTACATCGCCTTGTTCTCACGGTATGACCATATGTTTGTATCTATGCGTTAACTTGTTATGCATATGTCCCACGTTCATTAACATTCATGCGCCATAAACAAACGAACAAAAACCACTACCCCAGACCGCACATGCCAGAGTTCTTCGATTCTTATACATGCTATGCATTTACAGTGCAAAGCACACCAGCTCCCCCCAATCACGGTGTACATTGAACAATAACCCCCCTTCTAAAGCAGGTGCACCATCAACTTCAGTTCAGTGGCCGCATCCACTTCGACAGTCTGCACCGATCGTTGTGCCTAGTGGATGGCATGGAACAGCTGCGTGCTTCAACATTGACAACATCTTGCTCACAGCCGCGGTGCCAGGAGTCATAACACCCAGGGTTGCATCAACCCGCGTCCCTCCACCTCCCGCCGTTGATATGGGGCCGTCAAGTGGAAACAACACTGATGAGATGCCGAGCGTGGTAGAGGACGAGGCGACAGTCGTCGAAGAAGACTCGTTGGAGGACGGGGAGGATGGTGTGCGGGTCCGTACTAGCTTGCGAGGTGACTACAGTGCCAGACAGAACATAATCTGGGTGTACGAGAAGCAGTGGGCTCGCTCGGTGGCACCCACAAGGCGATTCGGCATTTACACGAGCAACATGACGGAGTCCATCAACAGGGCTGTGAAATCCATCCGGAATCTACCACCCGCCTATTTGCTAGCACCGATGTGGAACTACAACGTGGAGAAGTTTCACGAGCAGCGTGAAGAGGCGTGAGCCCGGGACGACTACTTCACGGAGTGGGGGAGAAAACGTTACGAGCAGAAGTGCGAGCATGCCAAGAACTACGAAGTGAAAGTCTCCAACATCGAGTACCTGGCGGAGGTGATAAACAATGGCAGTACGGACTTTCCCACCCCACGAAGCTTCAACGTCAACCTCAGAGCGGGAACGTGTCAGTGTGGCAATTGGAAAGAGCATGGCGCACACGCCATGGCGTCTTTTCCTGTCGCAAACAAGAACGGTTGGGAGTATGTAAGCGACTACTACACCACATTCAACCTTCGTCGTACATACTCCCACACCATCCCTGGGTCATGCATCGACACCCTCATGGCAGAGACAACCCCATGGCAGGTACCTCAGGGAGTGTGTGATGCTCCTACCTTCACACGTAGGGGTCCAGGTCGCCCCCTTTGTACAGGCTCAAGGAGGCTCCAAAGGGGAACTATCGATGCAGAACTTGCTTGGGGCCTAACCACAACTCATCAACATGCACCCAGAAGTATGGCTCCGAACGGGCTGCAGGAGGTGTCTACACCACGGTGGGATGAGCCTGGAAAAATGGAGTTTCACATCACCTGTTGGGGCAATAGCCTTACTTTTGTTAGTGCTAGGTCGATTCTGCGCCCTGCGTTTATCATACATTTAATAAATAAACAATATCAAGTTGTTCAAGCTCTCATGCTAATAATTAGGGCCCTATAAGATACCAATGCACAGCTTAGCAATGTTGTGCTATGTTATTCCGACTGCAAAATCGACATTACTCTGTCCAGCTGGTGTAGGACACAATGTATTTACCACCCAAGACACATCGCGCCAGTTGTGAACGTCGGTGTGGTTAAAAACGACTGGTTATGCAACAACAATGTTTCCATGTACACTTCTGTACGAGCAACTCCATCGCGAAATCTTTGTCTTGCTCGCGGCTCCATACTTGACCTAAACCCTGAAATTTTTCTACTAAATATCCAAGCCGCTGAGATGGTCCCACGTCACACAACATCTGCCATTTAATAACGCAATACAAGACTGAACGGCGCATACTCCCAACAAGCAACGATACCGTTTCGGGGGAGGGGTCTCAACACTCTGAGCTAGCAATGAATGCGAGCAATCATCAACGAATGCAAGAATGCCGCGTCATGTCTCTTTTGAGTTTCAAAATAACAATCCTGTTGAATTCTTGCGAATCGTATGGCTCCAACTCAGCCGTTCAACTGTTCAAGTGACTTTAACACCCGAATAATTGCGCAATTGGTCCAGTTTGGTGAAAAAAAACACGTGCAGGCTTGGTAGATTGGTTGAGGTGCACAGTGGTTTATCGTCCTCGATAAACCGTACTGCTCGGGGAAACTCGTTCTTGCAAAACACTGTGCTGTAGGCATATGAATCTCAAGTAAACTTAAAGCCGTTGACCCAAATTGCACAAGTTTTGAAAGCTTGGCCATGGGGTTCGTCGGGTGGCGAGGGGGTGTGAAGTGAAAGTTGGGAGCCGACAGAAGGCACACCCAGTGAGCGATGCCGCGAATTATTTAGCGAACCCCTCTTGTCAAACATGTGAGAACTGGCCAATAGAAAATGTCGCAGACTGCAAGCAGAACATTGCGGGCCAAAAACACACAACACATCTCTTGCGCAAACCACACACACAACACCTCGACCTGCATTCACTGGCATCAACCTATTAGGCCCGCTAGTTCTTGATACTGCATGTAGCTGCCAAATAAAGTAGTCAACGCCTGCAGTCACACTTCCGCCGCGTACGACGAACCTGTCACAATTTTAGGGTTACCACAGCCACAAAGGATAGAACGACAAGCGGTCGTCAGCCACACACAGAAACATATTGACAAAGACGGCGAGATAGAGATTATGGCCCGTCGACCTTCCAAGGGAGGGTCGCGAAGGTACGTAAGAGCCCCTCACAACCTCCAATGGGCACGAACGTCGGCGCATTAAAAAACGAATCGGAAACCGGCGGTAAATCAAACACATTTCCAAATGTGCATGGTGGAGAACGATACCTGAGAATACGTGACACTCCACACATGGACTTTCCCTCGCGTCGCCACCACTTCCCCCTCCCGTCGTCCTCGCTTTTCCCTCGCGTCGCCTCCACTTCCCCCTCCCGTCGCCCCCACTCCCCCCTCCCGTCGCCTCCACTTCCCCCTCCCGTCGCCTCCACTTCCCCCTCCCGTCGCCTCCACTTCCCCCTCCCGTCGCCTCCACTTCCCCCTCCCGTCGCCTCCACTTCCCCCTCCCGTCGCCTCCACTTCCCCCTCCCGTCGCCTCCACTTCCCCCTCCCGTCGCCTCCACTTCCCCCTCCCGTCGCCTCCACTTCCCCCTCCCGTCGCCTCCACTTCCCCCTCCCGTCGCCTTCACTTCCCCCTCCCGTCGCCTCCACTTCCCCCTCCCGTCGCCTCCACTTCCCCCTCCCGTCGCCTCCACTTCCCCCTCCCGTCGCCTCCACTTCCCCCTCCCGTCGCCTCCACTTCCCCCTCCCGTCGCCTCCACTTCCCCCTCCCGTCGCCTACACTTCCCCCTCCACTCGCCTGATCTTCCCCCTCCCGTCGCCTCCACTTCCCCCTCCCGTCGCCCCCACTTCCCCCTCCCGTCGCCTCCACTTCCCCCTCCCCGAGAGGTGAGTTTAGGGTCGTTCTTGCGAGGCTGGGCCGTCGCCTACCCTTTCCCTTCCCGTCGCCTGAACTTCCCCACCCACTCTCCATACGTGCGTCCACTTTCCATACCTGCATCCACTTTCCATACCTGCATCCACATTCCATACCTGCCTTGACTTCCTGCTCACTCTCTTCACCCCGCTTTCCCCCACTCTCGCCCATTTTCACTCTTATAGCTCTCTTTCCCCCTCTGCTCAATCCTCTTTTCCCGGCTCACTCCCACGCCCACTCTCTCCTACCCTGCTCACTCTCACCCGCCCTGCCCACTCATCCACCCATCCCCTTGCTACCCCTGTCATCCACCCATCCCCTTGCTACCCCTGTCATCCACCCATCCCCTTGCTACCCCTGTCATCCACCCATCCCCTTGCTACCCCTGTCGTCCACACTTCCCCTTGCTACCCCTGTCATCCACTCATCCCCTTGCTACCCCTGTCATCCACCCATCCTCTTGCTACCCCTGTAATCCACCCATCCCCTTGCCACCCCTGTCATCGCCCCACTTCCCCTTGCTACCCCTGTCATCCACCCATCCCCTTGCTACCCCTGTCATCCACCCAACCCCTTGCTACCCCTGTCATCCACCCATCCCCTTGCTACCCCTGTCATCCACCCATCCCCTTGCTACCCCTGTCATCGCCCCACTTCCCCTTGCTACCCCTGTCATCCACCCTCATTATTTCAGGTTGCTAGGCAAGACACAGGCATGTGCCCGCTAGTTCTCTTTTTTTCCGGGAGTCGCAACCCTGCGATGATTGAGTGGGCTATATTATCGCGTGTCCATAGAGTACCGTTGAAGCATGCTCAAACTAAACCTTGTAACAACACAAGTCTCATGCAATAGAGTAGTTTTGTAGCCTGTGTTGTACTAGCATGGATCTACTGCTTGGCGTGACTATTTATGTAGGGTGGTCTGGCTGTTGGAGGTCCACATCATGCTGCAGACAGTTGCTGCTACTGGTTACGCGAAGGCTGGTCCCTGTGCCATGCAGATATGTGCAGGAAGGACAAGGAAGATAGGGAATGAGGTAACTGGGCAGATGGGGAAAGAGATAACTGGGCAGATGGGGAATGAGATGCTGGGCAGATGGGGAATGAGATAACTGGGCTTCACGTGTGTGGCTTCACGTGGTGAGCCATGGGGGAGGGTGCAATATCGCAGCACTATGGCCAGATGGCAGGCAGCCGAGCATGCAGCAATGTGAGACGCATGTGCAAACCTGAGATCACGAGCAATAACCGGATGACAGCTGCACCCTCCCCCACTGCACCCCCCACCCTGCACCCTCCCAACCATTCAACCCCCCCACCCAACCCCCCACCCTGCACCCTCCAACCCTGCACCCACGAAAATGTCGCTCCACCCTTGACTTGCCCATCACATCCGGCACCCCTTACCTTCTGCACGGACAGGATGGGAGGGGCAAGTCTAGGGAATGTGAGAACAGGAGAGATGGCACAGGTGGCACGGGGTGAGGGAGGGTAGTGTAGTGGACGGCACAGATATTCTCACGTTGCAGCACCTGGACCGCACATTCGCAGCCCTGATCGCCCGCACCACCCGCATGGAGTTGCCTCTCCTCCCCCGCAGCCGCCGCCCCGGTCGCGGCCGGCTGATCCTGAGTCAGCCGCGGGCGCGAATTGTGCGGCGTACTGCACTACCAAGGCAGCGCTTGGCGGGGAGCATTGCCTTCGTGTTGCGTGTGGTTCCACGCTTCCATGTGCCGAGCATACGTGCTGCTCGGTATGCGCCCGCCATCTCCTCGCCCACCGGCCCCCACTCCGCCCGCTGCTCACCCACCCTGTTGCTGGGGAGGAGGGTGGAGTGAGAGGGGGACGGGAGTGGAAATCAGGGGGAGAGGAGGTGAGGAGGTGAGGAGGTGAGTGGGAGTGTAGGCGGAGTGGGGACGTGAGGAGGGGGGACGTGTGGTTTGGTGTTTGTTGTCATGATGGCTCACTGTTTTCCTCTGGTTGTCTCGTATGGTTTGGCCCGCCAGATCGCCACTCGCCTGGGTTGGGAGGAGAGTCAAGCCTGGGATAGTGGGGGGAGGAGGAGGGGAAGGGGGGAATGGAAGAGAGAAATGGTGATATACCGTCATACGCGGGGCCCCCCCGGCCAACCTGGACGGCGTGGAGCACGGCACGAGAACGACAGCAGTGCATGATGGAGAGGGGGAGGGGCGGCTTGCGTGGAACGACCGAGAGGAGAATACGGGGCGTAGGCGATGGTAGGCTATGAGTGGTTGCGGCGGAACGGAGAGAGAAGGAGAGAGGAGGGATTGGAGGTGAGGATAAGGGAGGGGCGATGGGAAGAGGTGGGCTCGGATGGAGATGGGAGGGGTTGAGGGAAAGGAGACGCTTACAAACAAGGCGGGGAGAGGAGGGCGTACGAGCCGTTGACGGCGTGGGGTGACGCTCTCCGAATCCAGCGATGCCCCATCCATATTCCACAGACAGACGGCGGGGAGAGAGGGCTGCAAAGGGGCATGGGGACAGTGGGGACGCATTCGAAAGGTGGGAAGGGGGGATTTGATGGGTGGATATGAGGGGGTCTTGAGGCAGGAACTGTCGGACACGACATTAGGTATGCGTTGGTAGCCTTGGCGAGGTGTCTGATTCGCAATCACATGTCGAACTTGGTCGCGAAACCCTAAACCGATGCGCGTGTTTGTAAGCGATGCGCGCATTTCCGGCCATTCGCTCCACCGATGCAAGGACGAGTCGGCGTTTTACCCGCCCGTGTAGTTGGGAGCGACGACGCGTTCATTCAAAAACGATGCACCACGCAACCTCTCACCGCGGCATAAAACTATGCGCGACGAATCACAGCGCGGCGGGACGCGGCGCGTAAGGGCGAAGGTGGCGAGCAGCCCGAGGCTACATGGCCAGTCGACGGCGTGCCGCCATGGCTGTGATTATCATGGCCTTGACGGCGAACGCGACCATCGTTACAACGGCCGTTTAGAGTTATCCTCTCTGCGCTATAACCAGGACACTTCCCGTGTGACCATCATTCTAAACCGTAAGATTTGCTGCTTGCATACTATACTCCCTCGTGATGGCGTCGAAATGATATCAGGTGTGCCATGGGCAATCGTGGTGTGCCAGGGATGTGTGTGGGCCTATTGTACGACTCTGCAGCTGGTGCTAGTTTGTGTTTTGAAGTTCCAAATTGCGCTCAATCTGTTTCAAGTTTTTGGGTGAGTGTTGGCAAGACGGGTTCTTCAGAACCCTGGTCTGCGACGGAACACAATTGTGTTCAATTTCATTGGCTCCCATCGCGAGGGGGTGTGTTCTCATTGGTTCACAACCTCAATTGTGTCGCGCGGACTTCAGCCTCCTCTAAACTCGGTAACCCGAAAGTCAGGGCGTCAAGTTTTAAAAGCTTGACGCGCGCGGCTTGCAATTTGGGTCAACGGCTTTAATGTTATGACAATGTGTCATACGCTTGCTAGAACCACTGTAATAAGCTGCTCGAATAAGCAATGTTGCAACCTCGCTGTAGGGTCCCATCATATACTCACGACTTACCTCAACTGATGGAAACCGTATCGGAGGTTGCTTACTTCAATGAGGTAACCATTGTGATCCCATGAGTCACTGCGACTGAAGCGACACATATATTACCGTCCATAACGGAATGTACCCCTCATAGTACATGGCTGTTGAGATCTATATACCGCTTGTAATGTTTTCATGACAATATATATTGTCATTTACGTTCACAATGATCAAGGATCCCACTACACAAGACTTCGTGTTGAGATGTGAATTAAACGAGAAGGTATTCCTGTACACTGTAGGAGCCAACTCTACCGAGTACGAAGACGAGGAGTCAGAAAAATCGAAGGGACATCAACAACCGTCAAATCAAGACCGATGTAGGCAGATTCTATTGAACTTGAATTGGCGGGAACAGGTTTCAAACGGGTTCCCGCGCCGCACGGTTTGAATTCGCTGCAATAAGAAAATGTACCCCTTAGACTATATGGCTAGCTATGACTTTTCGCATTTCTTTGTATTTCCTATATATACAAATGTATGCATCTGCTATCATCACTTCAGTCATTTACATTCACTCTGACCTGAGGTCAATACTTCCGCTGCAATACACCTGCGATCAACCCTGAGCGATCCTTCGACTAAGTCCCTCTTGGGATTGTAACGCTTCCGCTGCCTACTCTAGTAGACCTACCCTAACCCAGGTCATTTGTTATTTTTATAGGATGTAAATATTCTTTCTAACGTGGACATATATATATCAATCTTGTTATCAAGGCTCATGTAACGTTCATCTACTAGAGCCTTCTTGTTTTGTGATGAGTAGAGTAAGTAGTGTTCGATGGAAGAGAATGGCAAAAACTTATTATGTTTAAGGGCGTAGGGGGGATCTTAATAATTTTACATCCATAACGGGGGGTCTACAACGTGATCAGGGAGGTCCTCCCTTCGTTGTGGATGGGAAAATTGTATTGTGTGACTTCGTGATCCACCCTGAGTTTTGTGGTGTTGCTTCTTGCGACAGGTACCCTAAACAGTTGTTTAACTTGATTGTTTTGAAACCATGAAGAATGTAGCCTGAAATGCTAAAGATTGTTCACAAAAGTGCTATTGCAACCCGTCCCGTTAATTTCCGTTTTTCATGAACCATGTTAATTTGTTGGTTGTTGCACCATAACCTTGCGGCGTTCAATGTTCAACTTACAATATGAACTATTAACATGGAGTGCTAGACTATGTTTAGGCATCACTGGAAAGAATACATGATCACATAGTAATACTCAACCTATTTCTTGGTGAATCAGTATTAATAAAACCCTACATCTAGTCATAAGTAAGGGAACATTGTTCCAGGTCGTCCTGCTTTGCAGGAATGACCGACATTACCCAGTCAATTTCTTTACGCAAATCTGCCATCTCCTAATGCAGCATGTTTACTTCCTTTTCCTTAACAAAACAACCTCTGCATTCCCTACTAGCTCTAATTCAGAGATTGGTGCTCCCTCCTCTATATAGACAGCCCCCTCCTCTGTTCTCTTCTTAAACGGTGCATGTGATGGGACAAAAAACCCGTTTTCTTGAAGTTGCGGGAGCATAGCACCATCAAGAAGTGATGTCATCTTGCGATAGTCATTAGGGTCCATCTCCAGATGCAGTGGCCTTTCGAGGTTACGGAAGTCGCGGGATACAAGCGACCGGAGATACATAGATGTGTATATCCCACAGTCTAGGCTGTCAAGCGGTTGCTGTGGGATCTCCCAAGTCTGCATAATGGCATTAACACAAAGCACACGGGTGGTTTTGAACACATAACTTGTATGCACGCCAAATATTACTCCACAAGGGTCTCATCTTACCTGTAGTATGTGCCACTCGACCTTTGTCACTAGATCCAGAATGTCTTGTTCGCAAATGCCGGGTCTGATACGATGCACCTCTTTGAGGACCATGCTGTGCAATCATCACAACTAGACCACATCATATGTAATTGTACAAACAGTTGCTGATAACGACAAGGTCGTAGAATCTCCATACTGTTCGATAACCTCCCAGTCTGTGCCCAAGTCACAGTGATTGCCTTCAGAGTCGTAGTGGTAGAACTTTGGCAGGTTTTTAACGGAATGATTACTGGGATCCTTGAGTAAGACTTTGGCGTTGGCGACCATAACAAGACTGAAATGAAACCTGCCCAAGTACAATGATTTCAATGAATGAAACTCCGGCAGGTACACTGTCTTGTAGGGTTTCAACGTGTGTCAATTATTCACCTTCGAGTGACAACAATCGCGACGTAGTCGAAGTCCAGAAATGATCTCTTGGCTGGGCAGCAGGAGATGATTTTCCCATGTTTCGACTGTACTCGAAACCTTAGAGTCGAGAGCGATCCATGTTTGGCCGTTTTGCAGCCTCGGGTGACGTATGTCAAGCAAGTTGTACGGTAGCAACGAGCGACGTTATTGACGAATCGTTCTACGACCCTACCAACACGGCACCTCCCTGTACGAACATATTGTGGAAGTCGAGTATGTTGTCGTTCACCGCCAGTTTAGAGGATATGCGATGAAGGTCCGCCCTACAGACCATTATCCCGAATGAATGCCAATTATAGATATGGCTCCTCTTCCGTTGCAAGTGTGCCACGTCCTGGTAGTTCATGGCGTTGTGTCTTCCGTCTAGCACATCACACGGAACATCCGTTCCGGAGTCACTGAATTGTGGAACCATACTCGTCGTTGCGTCTCGAGCTGCTGAGCGGGTGGTATTGACCATGGTCACGGTGGAGCTTAGCTCCTAACTTATGGTAAATTTTCCTGTTGTGAGAGTGGTCACGTAATGACTTGCTCGTGAAATATGAAGATCGTTTTTGGAAAAGCATGCCCCTTACCGTTTACGTAGGGTCATTTCTCGATCTGCTTTTAGACGTGGCTTACCCTACACCCCGATCCGTAAAATGCTCCGTGTTGTTTTTGCGCTTAAATTCCAATAGCTGGCGTGTCTATGTCTGACTTTTTGGGTCGTGGTCGTTGTAAAACGGTGAGCACAAATGTTGTGCTCATTATTCACCTTTTGGTGGCGCGTTATAAACATGATAGTGTCACTTTAAGAAATATATGCACACTGCGAGTGTTTGTGAACATTCGAAGGTTTTGAACATTGGACTGTTCCGAACGTCGAAATGGTGTAGGGTTGTTGGATTGCAATTCAGATCGGTGGTTGTGTTCACAACGCACGACTTCGTGCAGCGGTGCGCGCCTAATCATGTGGTTTGGCGTGATTGGGCATTTCTGCCAAAAAGTCCTTTCCCTTATGTTTCTTTACTTGGCGCGTTGATTCGTGCTCAAGATTTGATCACTGTTTGTGAATACGTGGCAATGTTATTAACCGCGGTTGTATATTTGTTGTTGCACAGTGTTTTTGAACACACTGCAAGTTTATTAACAATGTTGTATTTTGAACATCTGATAATACAGAACGTGGATTCTACAGAGCGCGTCTAATTCGACACCTGACAACGCTTACACTTGGATGGTTTTGTATCAGTTTACGATTGTTGCCGTTCTGAATGCCCAACCACATTCAGAGACAAACATGATTAAAAGCCCGCAGCCCAAGTTGTTCATGATTTAAAACGTTGACGGGGAGTCACTACGTTTTTTGGGCTATGGCGAGAGTTTTTATCTCGTCAAATTCGTCTGTTTCATCACTCACAGCCTATCCCCGACTTTCTTCCTGGTGGGTGCTCGATTGTCCCAAATTGCAAGTGCAGTTCTTTCAAGTTTGCACAACCCTCAGCATCAAGATTTAAAAACTTGACCAGCGCCTTGCAACTTGAGACTCGGGCTTTAAGCACATTTGTTTCAACTGTCAAAGCATCGAGGCATAGTGATGACAGCCAATTACATATGCAGCCACTGACCAGTGATGAGGGTTTGTGGTAGATGCAAGCACAAGGGTCGAACAAAACAAAGAGTTG